AATTGGGTCGATTTGACAGATGCATCCAACTGGTTACAAGATTTGAATGCACTACCACATATACAAGAGATTGAATTATGTTCTTGTGAATTAGGGACCTTTCCACGTTCGCTGTCTCATGTCAACTTCACATCTCTCACCACTCTTGATTTACGAGGCAATGATATAAACTCCACCATACCAGATTGGGTGTTCAATATTACTAGCCTCGAGTTCCTTTATCTTGGTGGGAATGACCTATCTGGATTCTTTCCTAATTCTGTTACGAAGTTGACATCTCTCAAGGCACTTGACTTGTCTGGGAGTGTGTTCCAAGATGGCTTCATGCGATTAGCTCCTATATCCAACCTCTGCAAGCTCCAAATTCTCAACCTACACTATGTGCCTATTAACGATGTGCTTGCCAATTTAAAAATGGTTTTCTCTGGATGTCTTAGGAATAGCATGGAGGAATTGTACCTCGGAGGCACCCAACTGAGTGGTTTCTTTCCGAATTGGCTAGGGAACATCAAGAATCTTAAATCTCTTGATCTTTCTTTCAACTCTATCTATGGATCAGTGCCGGCATCTATTGGGAATATATCATTGCTGCAATATTTGTATTTAGATTCCAATGATTTGAATGGGACGATTTCCAAAGGAATCGGACAACTGAAGAGCCTTGTTGATTTGGATCTCTACAATAACTCGTTGAGCATATCGGAGGATGACTTGGTTAATCTATCGAGTTTGAAGTATTTGGACATTTCGTACAACTTCATTGAATTAAACAAAAGCGATGATTGGATCCCTCCTTTTCAGCTTCAAAGTCTCTCCATGGATTTCTGTCAAATAGGGCCCACGCCCCAATTTCCAAAATGGCTCCGAACACAAACCATTCTTCGTCGACTACAATTGTCAAATGCAGGTATCAAAGACATGTTTTTCGATAGGCTTCCTTCTAGTCATGAGTATTTGGATCTTTCTTACAACTCTCTCAATGGATCATTGCCCGCATCTCTTGGAAACCTCTCTATGCTACGATATTTGATTTTACGTTCCAATTATCTGACTGGGATGTTTCCGGAAGGCATCAAACGGTTGAAGGGCCTCGTCTATTTGGATCTCTACAATAACTCGTTGAGCTTATCGGAGGATGGCCTTGCTAATCTATCAAGTTTGAAAATTTTGGACATTTCATACAACTCTATACACTTGAACAAAAGTGATGAGTGGATCCCTCCCTTTCAACTTAACAGACTTTATATGCAATTCTGCCAAATACTACCTACACCCCATTTTCCGAAATGGTTTCGTACACAAACCACTTTTGGTGAATTAGATTTATCAAATACAGGTATGAAAGAAACGATTCCCAATTGGCTTCCATCCGGTCTCGAATATTTGGATCTCTCCAATAATATGATTGGTATGATTGGCGGTGATGTACCATATTATTTTCCAAATCTAACTGTATTGGATCTCAGCAATAACTCGTTATCAGGATATCTTCCTCCAAAAATATCAATCATGATGCCAAGTCTGGAATACTTGTCTCTCTCCGACAATAAGATTACGGGTGAGATGCCACAATTCTTTCCAAAACTGAGATATTTATTTCTTTCAAATAACTCATTCTCAGGAAATCTTCCACCAAGAATCTCAAACACAATGCCAAGCTTACGATGGTTTGATCTATCTACAAATAATATGAGTGGCCATATCCCCTTCTCTTATTGTCGATCCAGTAATTTGGAAAGGCTTCAGCTTTCCGAAAATAATTTGTCAGGAGAGGTTCCCAAATGCTGGAAAAATTCCTCAAATTTACTTCTTTTAGACTTATCAAGCAACAAATTAGTAGGTGGAGTCCCTGATTCGCTCTGTAATTTGCAAACGCTAGAGTCGCTGCACTTGAGTCACAACAATTTATCCGGGCCGATTCCTCATTGCTTAAAGAGTTGCACAGAACTAGCTACTCTCGACTTGGGCCACAATAACTTCATTGGGAATATACCAACTTGGATTGGAGAAAGCCTTTTGTACTTGAAGACACTTAGCTTACGCTCCAATGCCTTCACCGGCAACATTCCTCAATTATCTTCTCTACCATATATTCGTATCTTGGATCTCTCCAACAACAATCTTTCAGGAACAATACCACAGAGCTTCGGGGACTTCAGTGCGTTAAAAGGTGCTCCTGCATATCATTGTTGTTACTTCAACAACAATACTCTCTCTGTGGAATATATGTGGCTCTTCGTAAAAGGAAGTGAAATCAAGTATACCACCACCAGACAACTTTCAATTGATACACTTATTGATCTCTCCAACAATAACTTATCAGGAAACATCCCTGAAAAGTTGGGGAATTTGCATGGATTGCGGAGCTTAAATCTGTCCGGAAATTATCTTACAGGTCAAATACCAAGAAGCATCGACGAAATGAAACAACTAGAAGTTCTCGATCTATCAAGAAATAATCTTTCGGGTGTAATTCCTTCCGGTTTGGCATCTTTGAATTTCTTGAACCAATTGAATTTATCATATAACAATCTTTCTGGAAGGATTCCCACTGGCTATCAGTTACAAACTTTTACTGATCCATCTATCTATGCTGGCAATCCAAATCTTTGTGGCCCTCCTCTCCCCAAAAATTGTACGATGAATATAAAGAAGGCTGATGAAGAAGAGCAAAATGATGATTCATTTGAGAGCAGAATTAAAACAATTTGGTTATACACAAGTATCACATTAGGATTTATTATCGGATTTTGGGCGATTTGTGGAAGCCTTTTGTTGTTACAGACATGGAGGATCGCATACTTCCACGCCATTGATAATATGTTTGACAAGCTATACGTGGTGATGGTAGTGACCGTGGCAAAATACAAAAGAAAACTACAATGACTCTGTTGTTAGAGGGTGTCAACATGACTCATCCGACTTAAGCAATAGCAATGACATTGGTATATGTAGTACGCTCATGGTTTGCATGTCTTGTCATAAAACACCATCACATGATTTTAATTTCTCATTTTTGTGCATGTTATAATGACTGTTATATGATCTGTTGATGTTTGTCTGTGTAGTTTGTTTGTCAAAACTTTGTCATCAAAATATGAGTTCTCTGCCTATGGTTTATGCGCTGGCATTTTTTCCAAGCAGCAGTGTTTATGGTGTTCAATAAATGCGCTGGTATTTATTTGAGTAATTCGTCCATCCTCAACTTAATCTCAGCAGTTATGGGTATAAGATGCCAAGGGGGTTCCTTGGTTCCATTGATTCAATGATCGAGATGAGTGATTGAGAGTCCGATTGAATCTTTAGGCTGGTTATTTATAGTTCTTGAGCATGGTGGAACCCTTTCATCAATGGATTGTGCGCTTGTAAGGGAAGCTGCCCACAGCAGCAATGGTGGAGTTGGAAGTCGAGAGGAAGCAAAACCCAATACCTACGGTAAGTTCAGTAAAAAAGAATGAACCATCACATTACATAATATAGTCAAAAGTTTCACCCCTTGGGTTCGGATCCAGAGAATTGATTTTTTTTTTAAACAGTAACAACTTTCATCGAAATTAAAGAAAAATAACAAGAGGATTGGATGATATATCAGAATCACCCGCTTTATAAAAACATGAGAACCCACTGGTTCTTAGAAAAGCAACAAGCTGATGAACTTTGCTGTTGAGAGCCTTAGGGATAAAACTGTGAGCAATGATGTGAAGTTTGGCCATAAATAACGTTACATCAGAAATAATGACAGAAAGGAACCAAGGGATTTCCTTGGCACTGTTAACAATAGATATTAGTGATTGGGAGTCAGTTTGGATCCAGGGGTGGTGCCACTGCAGTGCCTCTGTGTGTTTCAGCGCCTCCAGGACAACGAGAGCCTCTGCCATTAGGGGATTCGATCGGCCCACAGCTAGCGATGAGTTTGCAGCAAAGAGGAAGATAAATCTGGTTCCTGCAGAAAATTCGAAGTGAAGTAAAAGATTTCTCACATTGTAATATGTAGCCGTAGATCCCATTACCTGGTTGAGGATACATAGTGCATATATTCCTAGTTTTCTCAGGCGAAGGATATGATTCAGCGATTTCATTGGTGAGGGCAATCACCCTGGAGACTATGGTAGGAGGTTTGGCACGACAGTCATGGAATCTGACCTCATTCCTATTGAGCCAAAGACAACAAAAAGAATAGGAAATGAGACTTAAGATCGTTCTAGAGATTTGTTTGTCATGACCATCTCCCTCGTGAAGCCAAGATAAGCCCATGTGTCAAAGAACTTGAAACAAATTTCAATTTGGCCTGGAGCAGATTCCAAAAAGAGAGGGCTGAAGAACATTGTAGGAGAATATGTGGGGAGGTATCTACCGAAAGGTGACATACAAAGCAATTATCTTGCTGGTGGCGTAGAATATGTGCAAAGAGGTCAGAGATGGGTAATCGGTTCCAGGAGAGTTTCCATAGAAAGAGTTTTAACTTTAGGGGAGATAGGAAGGAGCCATATCGCCTTCTAGCCCTGCCAAACCTCCTCCTTAGAATCTGATTTGATATACCGATAGAAATCAATAGTAGACAACAAGCCTAGGGGATTGGATTGTCATATCCAAGTGTCCTCATCAAGAGCTCTAAGAATATGTATTCTAAATATTCGTTCAACTAGGGAACCGTGGAAGAGCCGCTCAAACAAAACAACATTCACGCGATTAGAAACCAAAAGATCAACCACAAGACAAAAATTGAAGATTTCCTCAATGTTTAAGTAATGTTTAAGCGATTTGAAAACAATGATGAACAGGAAGTCACACAGTTGCAACAATGAGAATCAGTAATTTCATGGAGATAAAATTATCATTAATTTAAGCAATGTTAACATGATGCACACTTAATAAATTTACCAACCATTAATCACCACATGTCATATTGAAACAATTTGCAAAATAGGAGATGGATGGTATCAAGTGCACATCATACATTCATAGACACATACACATGGCCACACGAGGCATGCACATTCACACACACTGTTCAAGAGGAAAGGCTTAAAGAAGAAGGTATTAGGACATCAAGAGCCAGAGATCCTATGAAGTCTCAGTTTAGGCAAAAAGCAACATGTTAAATTTGATAAGAGGGGCCAAAAGTAGACAAGCTCTGATACCAAAGAATATAAATACTAATCTTCTTATCGACATTAACCTAGCCAAAGACTAGCTTAGCTGGTAAAGACATTGATAGTTTATCCTAAGGTCTTGGACTCAAATACCACCTTTGTCGCTTACTCTTAAAAAAAAAAGAAACCCTTGCCAAAGAGAAAATAAAATGAAATTTGCTCATAAGGTTCACTGTTATGAAATCACAACATACATTTCTGCTCACATATATTCTTATCAAGGTAGAACCACATAAATAACTTTCATCCCATTTTAAAAGGAATTTTCATCTATTGAATTTTAATTGTTTATCTCAACGTCTACTACTAAAGAAGCAAGGGCAGATGACTATTAAGAATATTCTTACCAGATAAGTTTTAGTCTGACCAACATAAGTCAAACTCGTTGCTCTGTTGGAGCAGAATTGCTGAGACCGACCAAAGAAAGCACAAGGATGTATCTTAACTGCCTGTCTACAACCAACTAACCAATTACATTTCACATTGGTAAAGCCCTCTCTGCTTCCCTTTCGATAAAATGATTCATGTGAACAGAATTCCAAGCTGCATAATAATGCATGTCGTAAGGTGCCAGGAAAGTATAATTTTACAACAAACATGGAATATGCATTTAAGGCCCATGGCAGGGAAAAAGAAAGTCGCAGTCTTCTAATCATCGAATACAACAAGGAAAATCTTACGAACAAAGCAATCCAAATCCTAGAGGAACAAAACGTCGAAGATCCTTCGACTTCCGTGACTCATCCACAAGAAAAAGTTTCTACTATCATATGTGAAACGGTTTGAATGGCAATAATCGAAGCAATACGATCAAACATCAAGAAGAGTCAGAAAGATAACCAGAACAAAATTAGTTCCTGCAAACCCTAGATCGAAAAACACAGAAAACATCTTTTTCAAAGTACCGGTAATCAAGAATGGAATACACTTCGCAATTCACCTAAAAACCATCTTATTGATCGATCTAACAGTACGCGAGCTTTAAGAAAAGGAAAATAAAGAACAGAAAACACGTTCTCAAATTACCAGTAATCAAGATTGGTATGGACCTCGTGATTCACCTAAAATCCATATTCTTGATCGATCTAGCAAGACGCGAGCGTCAAGAGAAAAGGGATAATCAAGAAAGGGAAGCGGCGTACAAGGGACGGTAACCATGAGGAGGATCTGGCGATGGAGACGGATCTAAGAGGAGAAATTTCTCTTGGTAAGGAATTTCCATTCCAATCTCGCACCGGAGCTCCTGCTGGTGCTCGCGTCGCCTCCGGTTCCGGCGACATACTCCAAAGAAGACGAGAGCAGCAACGAAGAAAAGATCACGTAGATGAGGAGGAGGAGCTGCGAAAGCGGCCCTCTCGTCGGCGGCGACAGCTTCGACGGGGCTTCTGGAGACCAAGGTGCGTTCGCTCGATCTTCTTCGCCCGTTGGGCCGGAATTCAAATCTAACAGATCTTTATTCGACCCTGAGGTACGGGCTCGGGTTTTGTCGGATTCGATTTGAAGATTCGACTCACCAGTCTGCATTTGTATAACCCTCAAGAGTCTGAACAAATTCTGAAGAAGATTAGAGCTCAAAATTTGTAGAAATAAGATAACGTTATAAGCTATTTCACAGATTAGATAACATGTTTCAGAACAAATTCGGGTACTTAGCTACGACGACACATCATGTACCAACTTGGCAAAGAGATGGACCAAATTCACATGCCCCATGCCTCGAGCCTTCCATTGTGATGGCAACATAACCAAATATAAGCAATATATAAATTGGTACAAGCTTCTTGATCTGAACATTCTAAGGGGTAATGCACCCTTTACGATGGAGCTTGTCCTCCTTTTCTTCTAACTTAACAGACATTAGCGGTATTTTCTTTTTTTAAATGGTGTAAGTATTCGAACATTATTTTGAGTTAGTTTTACCTTTATGTCGCTGTTCTTTTAGATTTTTGTAATCAGTTTCACCTGAAGCTGAAAATAATAATCATAATAATGTCTGATTTTATTAAGGCATAGATAGTCATCGATAGTCAACATAAAATTATGTCTGATTTTATAAAAAATATTATATTAAAAATCACTAATAATCATCCCAAACTCAGAAAGAAAATATGAATGTGTCTACTAAATCAATTAAAGCAAATGTAAAACCAACCATGTTTTATGTCACTTTTCTTTTAGATTTTTGTTATTTTTTTTACTTAAAATGGATGATGATGATGATGCTAAGTTTGAAATGAAATGTATTAAACTAATAGTGCTAATGCATGTCCCAAACTCAAATAAAAAAATTGAAGAGTTACCTAAGGTCGCTTATAACTGCCCTAATGTTTTAAGTCAAAAATCTCATGAAAGATGTTAAAATGTTCAAGGCCTAAATCTTGATTGTTTTGATGAAAACATAAATAAAAAATTAATAATATTTTTCTAGTCCAAACGAATGCATTTTAATTCAGTTGGGAAACACAAGAAGTTGATTCATCATATGATAGAGCTACAAATTGGTAGCTAATTTTATTTAGAATTTTAAAGTAATATAGCTAGGTGAAAAGAGAATTGATCTCATGAGTTCTATCATACGCACACTCTTTATTATATCTTTAAATTTATTTATTTATTTTTTCTCAAAAAGTTATACTACAAATACTTCAAACACCATTATACATCTCGACATCCTCCATGCAAAAAAACCACCATTTACATTATTATTTGACTATATACAATAAGTCATGTTATACTACTCTTCTTTCTATGATAATGGATGGAGGCATGACTTACGTAGACATCAACTTTCCACAACAAAATAAATAATAATAATTTTTAGTTTTTTTTATTCATTGGTTACTCTTTTCAAAAAGTAACCAAATTATTATGGGGTCAAGTCAATAAGAATGGATTTTTTTATTCATTGATTACT